AGTTGTCATGAGACTTTGAACAATATATCACGCCTTGATCGATTCCGACAAGGATCGGGGTGTGACATGTGAACCTTATTTATATGCAAATGATTCCTAATGATATTTTCACTAAAGTGTAGAGAAAATAATTAAGGAACTATACACTTTGGTGTATGAATTCCTTTCAAATGAATGTCTGAGATTAAGCACAAGATACCAAATCAACTTTATTAATAACTATAGTAGTTTTAATTATATTTTACGTGATAAAGCATAATTGTGAAATATTTGTTGCAGGTTTCAAAAGTTGAGATATAAACTGGTAAGAACCATCTAAGGCCTTAATGATAATAAAGGGTGAATTAAATCTTACTTGGTATGATTTACTTTCTAATCGGTAGAAATATACTCTTTTTATTTCCTTGGGGTAACACATATAACACTATTAATTATACCTTGAGTACAAATACCAACTAATAAGTAGATTAAACACTTTATAAGACTTAGTATGGAAAGGCTCCATCCTCATCTTACTTAGGCGGTGTTTGGTACAGGGAAATAAGTGCAGGGAAAAGGAATTGATTCCTTTCCTCTTGTTTGGCTAATAAAAAAAGTAAGGAATTGAGAAATAAATCAATTCCTTTTCCATCAAATCCATTCTCTATTTTTAAAGGAGAAAAGAGAGAAACGACGTATCTAGGTGTGATCGAGAATCAAAAGAAAAAACGCGGAGAAATCAAATTGTCCCCATTCGAACCTCACTACCTGCAATCGATCAAGATTTTTCAAACGTGGCTATTGGATTTTCATGCAATCCGCTCGTGTAAGTGATCAAAAGCAATCCTATTTGCCCTACATATGCCGATACATAGGATCAAAGTGGGCGGTATAGGATCGAAGTCACGACTGTTGCTCCATTCACGTATTATTGGGCAATTTTGGCACTATCCACTTCCAATTCAAGGTGTGATTGCTAATCTTGATATCAATTCTTCCAATTCAAGGTTTGATTGTTAATCTTTATATTAATTCTTCCGATTAATCTTGATAGAAATTCTTCCAAGTTAAAGAAATTTGTTTTTTGAATTGTGTTAAAATCTTGCCAAGATCGATTCTTTAAACGTGTTTGAATTTTGTTTTTGATGTTAAAATCTGGTAAGATTGTTAATAGTACAATGAAAATTGTTTTACAATTGCAGTTTTTTTTATTTTATTTTATTTTATTTTATTTTTATTTTTTTTTACTTTTCACCCTACTTTGAACCACCATAAAAGCTTCATACAAGCTCAAAATGAGGTAATTTTTATTTTCAAACTGTACTCCTCTGTCTTGTCTACGTTTTAGAATAAAAAAATAGCTTAATTGGTTAAGTCTTGGTTGAGTTATATAGCCCCAAACTGAAGCTGTTATGATTGTTGTATTATATTTCAGCACTTTTTTAAAATTTTGTCCAACTTTGAACCATCATAAAAGCTTCATATATGCTCGAAATGATGCCATTTTTTTTCAAACTGTACTCCTTTGTCTTGTATACGTTTTAGAATAAAAAACGGCTAAATTGGTTAAGCCTTGGTAGAGTTATACAACCACAAAAGAGGCTGTTATTATTGTTGTATTATATTTCAATACTTTTTTTTTAATTTTGTCCAACTTTGAACCATCATAAAAGCTTCATACAAGCTCGGAATGATGCGATTTTTTTTTCAAACTGTACTCCTTTGTCTTGTCTACGTTTTAGAATAAAAAAAAGCTTAATTAGTTAACTCTTGGTTGAGTTATACAGCCGCAAACAGAGGCTGTTATGATTGTCGTATCATATTTCAACACTTTTTAAAAATTTTGTCCAACTTTGAACCATCATAAAAGCTTCATACATGCTCGGAATGATGCGGTTTTTTTTCCGACTGTACTCCTCTTTCTTGTCTATGTTTTAGAATCAAAAAACAGCTTAATTGGTTAAGTCTTGGTTGAGTTATACAGCCACAAACAGAGGCTATTATGATGAATTACTATTTCAAGCATCTATTATGTAACTTTTTTTTGTAGACATGGCAGGGCGAAACAGACACACATGGACTACTAAAGAGGATGCAAAGTTAATTTAGGCATTGTTGGAGTTACATGTATCCAGAAAGAATGGTGGTGCCGACAACAGATTCAAACTCGGTTATTTAAAGGCAGTGCAACAATTACTAGATGTAAGTCTTCCTAATTCGGGTTTAAAAGCAGAGCCTCATATTAAATCGAGGATGAAGACATGGAAAACCCATTTCAATATCGTGCATGACATGGTATATGGAACAAACACGAGTGGATTCGGCTGGGATACAGATAAATGTTGTGTTACTGCCGATGTTGAAGTTTGGGATGAGTATATATATGTACTATAATGATTATGTTTGTAGTATTTTTAGCATCATTAAAACATATTGTAAATGAATAGCAACCAATTAATTTTGTGCCATTCTTGTAGAGTCATAAAGATGCTCTAGGTTTTCACGATAAACCATTTCCCCAATTTGATAACCTATGTAAAATCTTCGGGAAGGATAGAGCTACTGGTCATGGAGCTACTGATCTTGGTGAAGTTGTGACTGAAGAGACACAAAGAAACTCACCTGTTGATGTGGAAGTGTTGGAAGAGATTGTTAAAGAGACGTAACAAACTGCTTGTGTCAATAGTAAACGCAAAAGGCCTCCAACGGATGACACATAAAGCTCTTATAAGGAAGCAGCGAAAGAAATGAAAGAGAGTTTCAAGGAGGTTGGTGAAAAACTTAATGAAACAAAATACAATATACGAAGGCATGAAAATAAGGAAGCATGTGATATGATAGATAAAGTTATCGAAGACATACAAAGCATGCCAAATATCAATGTCAAACAGCGAATTAAGTCGATTGACATGTTTAGCAAAGATCAATTTCATGCCCAGGCGTTTTTTAAGATGACAAAAGAAGAAAAGATTTGTTACATGGAAATGATTGGGGATGGCTCAATATCATGATTAGGTTATTTTAAGTTATGTTTTTTTTTAGTTTTTACGAATATTGAAGTTGACTCTTTGCACATTCTATATTAGACATAGTTATGTTTTTTAGTTGTTAGGAATATTGAATTATATTTTGTGCATATATCCTACATTGGACATAGTTTTTGAATAGTATGATTTGCATATTTCTTTGAAATCTATTTGTAAGTTATTCTTTTATATTAGAAATATGTTTTCTAATACAAGATGTATAAAAAATAATATTAATTGATTAGAAAATAAATTATTTAGTAACAATTAATATTAAAATAAAAAAATTAAAGACATAAAAGATGCATATTTAGACTAATTAAGATGTACATCATCATGCATTTTTACAAAAAAAATGTTGTTTGAAAATTGGTAAACAAGGTAAAAAAACTCATTTCCATTTCATTGATTAATACAACCAAACAAGAGAAATGATTCTCAAAAACATTTCTCTAGTGGATTCTCAGTTCTACCAAGCAGGGAAGTCAATTCTCTTTCTCCAGCTTAATTCTCTTTCTCTGCATTTCCATTCTCTACTGCAATTCCATTTCTATGTACTAAACGCACCCTTAATGTTTTATGGATTTAAAGTCGATGTTGGACTAAGCTTCTAAACCCAAAATCTACTAAATACATATTTGTATATACAATACTATAAATGTGGCTTAGATTGTTATATGCAAACCCACCAAGAATAAGTTCTCTTATTCTTGTGAAAGCTAAGTTAGTAGAAAACAAGCTTTTAATGACAAAGTGAGTGGGAGGTACATGGAACTTGAAACAACTCAAGAACCATAATCTTATGTAGTAATAGTTGGCACTAGTTTTAACATGGATTATTAAACTTGAATAATAGATATTCATAAACACAAATTGTTCGCATTAGTGGTAGAAATCATCTACGACTTGAGAAATGTGGAATCTCTCATTGATGAGCTTTTGTTGATGGTTTTTCGAAAATCCTTTAAATACCAAGATGCTATGTCAGATCTCGAATCTGATAAATGACTTAGAGTCATGAACGTGAGCTGTAATCCATGTATGAGAATCAATTATGGGCTTGATTAAAATTTATCCCTAAAGCAAGTCTAGAAGGAGTAAATAATTCTTCCAAAAAGAATAAATTACATGGATAACCATACACATTTAAAGCAAGACTTGTAGTAAAAGGATTTTCTCATACTCATGTCACTGACTATGGTCCTCATCATACTCATGACATTGACTGTGATCAAACCTTTTTTTCACAAGTTGTTATGATCAGATCAACAAGGATATTATTGACTATAAATTCATATTCTTAATATGAGATATAGCAAATAGATTTCAAGAAATACCGCTTTTCTTAATAGGCATCTACTAGAAAATATCTATATAAATTAGCTTGGAGGTTTTCTTAATCCATGTTATCCTAATCAAAATATGTAGAGCTTGAGATTCACTTGTGGATATAAAGCAAACATCTCAATGTTGCAATCATTATTTTAATGTAAAACCAAAAGGTGTGTTTTTATATCAAAATGAATAGAACATGTGTGTTTACTAAGAACTAGTGGGAGCATTGTGAAATTCCTAATCTTGTATGAATGAGACATACTTAATCATTTGAAATCACATTGTGACTAAGCAAGGTCGTTTACACCTTGAATCAGAAAAGTGTTTCTAAAATGAAAGACTTAGGAAGGAGAAGATACATTCTTGGAATGTGAAATCTATAAGGGATAGATAGAATGAATGTTAAAATGTTTCATGTCCTTATACATATATTGGCAATATCTTTAAAGGGATCAAGACACAAGATTATTTGGAGAATTTTTGGCATTGTCATATGGCATCATTTTGATCTAACCTCAAAAGTACCTAGCTCATAGGTTAGAACTAGATGAAATGATTTATATTCCATTTTCTTGGAAAATGAATTCATCATTTACGCCATATTATGCATATGACATGGTATTTGATCATGTTGTAAGCATGTCATAAGATACCAATTGAATACATGGTTAAGTCACTAGATGACTATGAAACATTCTAAGAGTACTTAAGAAGAACTAAAAGAATGTATATGAGACAACCAGTTTAGAAAGGATCTTTATGGAAAGAGCTACACAAGATGTTAATTTCTAAACATATATAAATAATTATGAATTATAATTAGATTTTGACTTCATTATGGAATGAAGAATACATTTTGTTGGAATGAGGTCCAAGCAAAACATAATGACACAATATAATAAAAAATAAGAATACGCTACTTTAGAAGTTGAATTCAAATATGATTGGATGAATGAGATCATTGAAAAACTATGTTGATCTCTGCCATACAAGGATCACATAGAAATCTTTGTGACTTCGAGAGTATACTTAATCAAGCGAAGAGACTATATGTCACGAAAGAACAACAATCATATTCTCCAAAATATTTAACTATACTTAGAGTAAAGTTTTTTTCTGAAAGAGCAAATACTTAGAGTAAAGTTAGGTATGGAGATGATAGTATTCACAGAATTCACACAAATTAAATTTTGTCAGACCTATTGATAAAGTAATTCTTTTGAGCTAAGTATGAATGATCATACTTCAGCTGTAAGACTTTATTATTCTAGAAATAGGATTTTGATTTGGATTTGGTACTTGGATATTGTAGCATTATAACAACAACTATTAGATAATGTTATGATATATTGGGATATAGTCATCACATTAATACTTGTTGTGTTCTATATCAACATGTTTAATCCATGAATAATGTTACTATTCTAAAGTTCATAGCCGGTTATAATTGTGGGAGTAATTATAAAGTAAGACTAATATGAATTGGATTGGTTGACTCTCACTAGATGAAAGTAGGCAAGTGGTTGTAACCAAGTTTCATATGTACTTTTCATAGAACTAGTATTGAATTGACCCACATCAAGATCATATCATGGATTGCTATCATGAATGATACTTGATTAAAAGGTACTATCTTTGTATCCTTAACACCTGAGATATATAGTGGGACTTAAGTGTAGGGAGTACTATGCTTTGATATGGTCAAATGTTGTTCCTTAACCAGGCAGTTATAAAAGTCATTTTCAAGTATGCTGTGAAATATGCAAGAGGATTATATAATCACGATGAGATTTGTTCCTCTTATGTGTTGAGAGTTAGACATCTAAGGCGCCTTACCAAAAGTTGAACAACTAATGAGATTGATCGCGATCCGTATATCATGTTCAACATGATGTCTGTAGCAAAGGGATTATTGATAAACTTACCTTATACACCAATTGTAGCGTTGGGCTTTTGGGAATTGGGCGTTGATAGAATGGCACCAAGTCGTATGTTGATGGGCGCAGTGAAATGTTGCTAGACGTTCACCACTGTCTATATCAGTCTAATATGAATCTTGCGCAAGTGGGAGATTGAAAGATCTAGTATGCTCAAGAATCATATTAAAGTGATATTGCTAATTAACATATGATACTAATGGGTCACACTAACAACAATTTGATATAATTGATTATTTATTAGCAATTGATTTTAATAAATATTCAATTAACTCTAAAATTAAATTGGAAATTATTTATTTCATGGAAATAATAATAATTTTCATTAGCATGTAACATTACATAATTCATATAATATAAATTAATAAGTCATGTACAACCTTTTGGACTAGGTTAGTCTTTTGTCTTTTACCTAAAGATAAAGTTTATATTTTATAAACTTGGATTTATAAAATTTAAACTCTTTCTTTCTTTTTTATTACCCACGGCCGAAACTAATTTGTCTAGTAGGAGAGTATGGCCTTTACATTAGTTTAATATAAAGTAAGCACCCTAGAAAGACATGTTGATGACATAGGGACATGGTTGTCTTAAAGTGCAAAGACCTAATGGTTAAAGATTTGCTTTATGCTTAAGACTAGTTGCTTGCATTTTGATCATTCACTCTTGCATGCAAAATCTAAAAATGCTCGCTACATCTCTCACATTCTCTATTGCGCAGAAAAGATAGAAGTTACTTGCATCTTCATACTCTCTTTAAGTTCATACTTTCACTACAAGAAATTTAGGCTTTTACTCACACATATTATGTGATGGTAAAAGCCACTTATGTGTTGAAAATTATCTATACCTACACATAAGTTAAGTGTTAACATGTGTTGGCTTATGACTGTAGATATAGATATGTACCTACACATATGTGATGTGTAGCCATGCAATATACAATACCAACACATGTATGTGTGTGTAAAACTATTAAGTATGTGTGGGTAAAGGTCTCATATGATGTTTTTAGATGATGACATGGCATCTGACATGGCCAATGACATGGGCAATGACATAGACAATGACATAATGTGCATTGATGACATGGATGTTGACATGTCAACCTACGTGGCATATCCTTACAAAGTGGTAGTGCCACGTGTCATAAACTATGTGTGGGTAAAGTCATTTTTATGTTTAGGTAAATTTGATAGTTGTGTGGTTATAACTTTTTAAAGTGTAGGAAAAAATATAAATGTGTTGGTAAAAATATAATTATATGTAGGCATTAACCACAATATATGTAGGTAATTGTGATTCAATATGTAGAACAAAAATACAAACTGTTTTGCTGTAATTAGGAACATATCCGGGCAAAAGTATTTGTAATTAAAATAAAGTTAGAACATAAAAGTTCAAACCACAAATGAAAAACCATATACTACACTTGAAATAATTCAACTATAAAACAAAAAACTATGTATAATGAAAGTAGTAAACATCCTTGAATATTCATTCTATATGATCAAACTCATCAATATTCTCACCATGATACTGTCCAGAACCGGTTTGGGTTGAGGTATCACAGTCGGATGTATCGTCTTCAGATTGTCCCGATGATGTACTTGAAGGAGGAGGCATGATATATTTCTCAATCATCTTTTGTTCCATAATTGCACATCTTTTTTCATCTTTCGAATACCATCCACTAATTTATCATAAGTAGGGCACTTTGAATTCTTAGTATTACTTGTGGTCTAACTAACAACAGGATCACATCCCCACCCTGACAAATAAATGGAGCTTCGTCGAAGTACCTTCTCTAGAATCGACTTGTCACTCATTGTGTCCATGGTATGCTCATTTCTCAGCTTCATCATTTCTTCCTATTAGCACAAAACATAAGGAAAGTAAAGTAAAATACTTTATAACAACATACATAAGGAAAGTTATCAATTAATGTAAATTTATTAGGGGTTGAAATAGGTAAGCACAATGCCTAAGAACTTACAAGTACAATTTCTGATCTGTTTCAATAAGAAAATAAGAAAGGAGCAACTAAACGTACATATTTTCTAGTTGCATCGGTAGATCTCCAACCTTTTTCCTCATCCCATTGTGTAAGATTGGATCTTGTTGTTATCTTGAGATTGGAGGGATTGGATCCAGTTGCAACAATTATATTAGTAATGACGTACATAAATTGTAATATTGAAAGTTAAAAGCTATTAATCTAGTTTGATTTCGACTTTTATATTGTGTTTACAACTTATAAAATACTTTATAACAACATACTTAGAATTTCTTTAACATAATAGCCATGTACTTATACCTTTTAACCCCTAAAGTCAATTTACTTACAACTCTTTACCCATACGAGCCTTATCAGTTTCTACTATACAACCCTTTTAAGTTGTACCCTTCATCATGTTTCTTTCAAGCATATTAGTAAGTATTCCAAAAAAAGGTCCAAAACTTACTATGAACACACTAAGACACACAACATTGTCAATAGAAAAAATCCTTTGATGTTATGACTCTTACTATATGTCAACATATATGATGTTAAAATTACAAAAAAAAAACCATTGAGTTTACCTGATTGACATCCCTACCCATAGGAGAAACATATATATTTAATGTACTAAAGATCATTTGAGGAAAATGGGAAAAATATTACAAGAACTTGATGCGTTGTATGGAGTAGTATGTTGTGCATCTTGTCTCCCTAGTCCACCTCGTCTACCTCTTCCACCTCTTTGTGACATTATGCTCTTTGTAACTATAAAAGAAATATTTTATAACTCGATCGTAAAATCATAGCATGAGAGATTCAATTTTAGAGTCTAAACCACAAAAGACTGGATATGCAAATCAATTACCAAGCAACAAACCTTATACATTGTTATTCAAATCAGTTTAGAGAAAGGCACCGATGAGCATAGAAACAATATCAGTGAATATGCGCAATGTGATAAATAAGTGAAGACTGTGTGATAATATGTTACCTGGAATTGACCGTCAGACTTTACCCTCGTTGTTCTGCCTCGATTTCTCGAAGCTCTGTCGGTATTATACGGGCTTTGTAGGTTTTGGTGGGACGATCGCTAGCGAATAACCGTTTCCCTCTATAAACTCCATGATGTTCGTGGATTTCGGAAGAGATTACGCCCAAATTCAAAATGACGCCATCGTGAGTGTAGGATGAGATCAATCCAAATCATTCCTAGTTACGCACGTATCTTTTCTTTATCATATCCCAATTCCATTTATATTTTAGAAACACATGTTTCAATTTTCACCACTGTCAAAGCTATTTTTCTAGTTCAAATATGTTTTTTTTTTTCTTTTTTAATTATATTTTTTTTACATACAATATTTCTTTATATTTAAAAAATAAAATATTTTTACTCTTATATATTCATAATTAATGTACGTGTAAGCATAAACAGTAGACATGTATTACAACTCAAGTTACTTTTATCCACATATTTAAATATGTATTAGATGTTTTTAGCATTTATTATGTTTAGCTATACATTTGTAAATTAATATTATGTGTCGGTAAAAATTAATGAATTATGCATACATAATTTAGCTTGTATATATGTCTAGACAGTTAATTTCCCACGTCATTCTTTTTAAAAAATATTTGTTTTATTTTAGCTACACATTTATATGTAAAAAAATATGTGTTAGTAAATAAAGGAATACTGAAAGACCCACATTTTCATAGTTGACAATTGTTAGTCCGAAACATGCTACGTGCATATTCATTAAAACAATATTTTATATTGATAAAGTGATTACAAACTACTGGATACAAACCCACTATTTCAAAGTGTTATATATTACATAACTCCCTAGCATTCTATAGTTTTATACATATGGGAGTGCAAAATACAATAGTTTCAAACTATTCGAAAATCTTCTATCAATACAATAGTTTCAAACTATTCAAAAATCTTCTACCAGTATATAACTATACTGGATGCTTATCTCCTGCAAATTAGTTAAACATTGAGAGGGGTAAGCGGCGATGCTTAGTGAGTTCAATAATAGATACAATATAACGTTATGCCATATTTATATACTTCAATATTACAGAGGCAAAGAGGATCAAGGAACAACAAAGGCATAATGCGAAAAGCTTTCCATATCAATCAATGAGACATAACAATTTCCATACTTGATATACAATCAATAAAGTTTCAGCACAAATGGCATAGAAAATACTCAGGAATATCATTTTGCTAGAATATTACGGCTTTCAGCCTTATCTTAACATACTGCCGAAGCCAAAGTGATGCTTATGTCATACACTTCATGGTCAACGGTTCATACCAATAACCAAGTGATGCCTATGTCATACACTTCGTGGTCAGAGGTACAGCCTTGCTATAAAAATAACAGAAATAATAACATGAGATGATAACATGGAAAAGCACATAGCACATATAACACATAACAAACAATTGTTCATATATATTAAACTCACCGTGAAATAATCGGGGGTTAAAATAGTAATTTGGGCAGCACTTCAGCTCTAAATATGACTTTCTTCGTTGAAAACCGGGCCCTGCGAGGGTTGGGCTTCAAAACCGAAAAGATAAATTTTTCGGGCTTCTCGGGAATTTCGGGGCGTGTTTCGGGCGTTGGAATCAATATCGGGGTTTCGGGGGAAGTGGAAGTAGAAGAAATATAAGTTTAGGGGTAAAAAGTGGCAAATTTCTAATATTTACCCGGGAGGTCTCGCGCCCCTTATATAGGTGCGAGGTCCGGATCCGAAGGGAAGGGAAGAAGGCAGGTGGTTGCGAGGCTTGGACCAGCTGGCTGCTTCGGCGAGGCTCGGATGCGAGTATCGGACAGATGTGTGCTTCGGATTGGTCGGATTACACGACTACTTCCTCGGTCGAATCAGGAAGCAACACGCGGGTCGGGCACGAGGGAAGCATGCGAGGTTCACATGACCGGCTTCGGACACCTGTGTGACACGCGTCCCTTCTCGGATGCGCCACGTAGCAACTTCGGACACGTGGCCAGCTCAGAGTGAGGGTGACGTGGCTGGTACTATTCATGCGAATTTTCTCGAAAATTGTGCCCAATCT